TATATATATTATTTATGTATATGTCTATGTATATGTATTCCCTATACAGTAGGTCACTTTGCTCCGATATGCGCCCCTCCGAAAGAAAAGCCGTCTCCGTATAAAGCTCTCAGTATCAAAGTGGTGGCCAGCTATTTGCAATCGAGGTTGGACGGCTGCTCGGCGGATCTTTCGAGGAGTTCTTGCAGAAGAAGCTCTGAACAAGGCAAGGCTGAACGAGCCTGATAGGGTTTAGGAACCCATGAAGGAGGCTCTTTTTGAAAGGGCCATCAGGTCCATTAAGCAATGGTGCGAAACCATGCCTTGCATGACATAGGAACTCAATGGAGCATCCTGTCTCAATGCCTCCTGTTGCAAGAGTCACTAGCAAGTGCTCACAAAGTTTCGATTTTGCCGCCCACGACCCCGAAGTGCGGCACAATCCAAACCCTAAACGGCGAACTTGACAAGTGCCGGCTTGCTGCTGAACCCAAGCCTTCATGTTTAAACCCTAGGTTATGTGGCTCCTGGAGGGGATGAAAGGCCCATGGCCTCATGCAGCAGTTTCCTGAAAGAAGACTACCAGGTCGACGCCCGATTAGCTGCTTCAGCCATGGCCTGGTTAGTTGATGAGTTCCGAGGGCAATCAACTGTCTATGGGAAGATCTCCGTCGCGATCTACAGCTTCATCATCATCTTCGGAAGCCTCACCACCATCATGGGCATGATTGCCCCCATTGCTTCAGCTGACTGCATGGCGGATTCCTTTTCACCAGACCATCCCAAGAAGGGGCAAGTCGACCAGCTGGTTTGGTTCAAAGCCATAGGTCGCACCTCCGGTGCTTTGGGAACCACCTTTCTCCTTGCCGTCTACATGCTTGGACATAATACCAAGTCGTGCCTTCTCCTGTTCGCGTGGGGATTTCTCAGCTACCTGAACTTTGCGGTGGTGATACCGAACGATCTCCTGGAGTCGGGCGGCTCTGAAGCAGGTGCATCCTCGGGAGTTCAGAAGCCCTAAACTGACTGTCAGCAAGCCCTTTCCAAAAGGGAATGTGCGGCCGCGAAGACCCAAACTGCTGCTACAAATGCACCTAGGCTACTGCTAGCTAAGCCCTGAACTGTGAAGCTTGAATCCCTGCTGCAGGTCAGACATGCATGCAAAATGTGCGAACGCAGGTCGCTGCCTTTGCAGTCTTGGAAGCTCTCTGTGCGCCTTGCTTTTGTTAGGCCTGGGGCTTCAGGTTTAAAGGGTGCTGTCGGCTTCCTATGTCAAGGGGGTGTTATCGCAATCATTATTGGTTTGTGCCTAAAGAGAAGTTGGGACGGCTGCAGACTAGAAGCAGGCAGTTTACATGAATATCCTTCCTGGGGCATTCATTCAGGTGCTGTGTGCCTGGCTGGAGGAGCGGTCCAGACCATGCCGCTCTAATATGCTACCCTTGAATACTGCAACTGAAGTGTAGCTCGGGGTAGACCCCCCTTATGTGCAGACAGGAAGTCGTAATTCTTCCAGTGCTTGCAATGGCCTTCCGTACTCTTTGTCGGTCAACGCTGGGAGCGTTTTGAAGCTTGTCGAAAGTCGCAGAGACGTCAGCTTTTGCGGACCAAAGCGGCCCTAAAGCGGTTCATGCTTTTTCGTTCCAGTTTTTCGTGCATGAGACTGGGCTTGCAGATTCTCTGCGCGTTGCGAAGGACGCAGGGTCGCTGCAAAAGAGCCGTCGCTCGTTGTGGGACTGATATGGAGCTTTTGTTTACTTGAAGGGTTCCCTCTTCAGGTCCTGCAAATCAGGATCCCGCTGCTGAGGCATCTGGGTTTTCCATCTTCTTCGGGGGCTCCCAAATACCAAAGGGGCCGATGTCAAGGGGGTCCTAAAGTCGAATCTTTGTCAAGGGTTTAGAGTTTTGCAGTTTTGAATTCCAAGAGGTGTTGCTTTCGGGTTTCTTGGTTTAGCTCTCCGCCTCCTCGCCCCTTAACTTACGGCCAGGTTGAAAACAACCCGGTCTGAACAGCTCTCAGCCGGCCGGTGGCTCAGAATGATGGCGGCATCGAGATGCCGACTTCAGTCTGGCAAGTTCGATGCAATCAGAACTACCTATAGTCTCCATTGTAGTTCCTTTTTGGGGTTACCTTTTAGGATCCTTAATATAAAATTGGTTAAACCAAAAAAGGAACTACAATGGAGACTATAGGTAGAGTTCTTTTGATCCGATCTTCGCAGCTAGAACTGGGACCCTCGCGAAGATTACACGACCGGATTGATGTTTTCTTCGTTTCAAGACAAGCCCTGGAGGGAGTGTGACAGCATCAATCCTGCACCCCTAAATTCCTGAACCCGGTCACCTTCTCATCATTTTGCTAGACTTCGATGGTAGTGGTGAAAAATGCCCGTTCAGAATGTTCCATGGTAATATGCAGGCCTGAATCAAATAAGATCAGTATTAACATTGCCTTACATAATCCGTAATTATCAACTACACATACTTTTTTGTCTATGTATCTCCATGTGTGTGTGTGTGTGGCTGTGTCTATATACATGCCTGCCCTATTCCGTTTTTCTGGTACTTAAACAACTGGAAGAAGCTTGGGGTACATGGGTTGCATCCGGCCCACAACGGGACAACCTGGATGCCATAGTTGGCAGAGCTTGCACTCTGATGGGAGCATGTCGTGTCGGGCGTCACCATGGCAGCGGTGCGACCCAAAGAACATCAGGCACCCAACGGTCACAGTAGCCGCACAAGCAGCTGTCGCTGTCGTTAAGTTGTCGATCAGTTGTCCAGGAGTGCGGACTTCTGTACTTGTAGCTGAGCAACCTTCGGGGTAGGGTTTAGCTGACGTCGTACCCCAACACCAACATCTCGCAACTGGCCAGGCAACAACTTCGCTTGAACACCAAACCGACAAAAGCTTGGAACGCACGGATCAGATTTGATCACGCCCTCAAATTTCGTACCGCAGGATCACCATTCATGCACATGTGTCCATGCTTCCCTGGCAGGTTCAGAGCGCGTGCGGCGGCAGCCTGCCAGCGCCAAACTGTTTAATTCTGCCTGCCTCGGTTTACAGTGTTTCGATGCGCCATAGAACTGTCATGTGACTATGAATGGAGTCTAGTCCTGCCGTGTGAAACCTGTACACCTCAGCAGATGCTGCTGCAGAATCTCGTGGAAGATGTTGTGAGTCGTCACCGCGCCCACGAAACCAGCTAATCCATTCCCCCATAATTTTTAACGGGGGGGTCCCCTGTAAAACACGGAAAAGCGCTTTCATTCTTACGGGTGGGCTCGTATCCATTGTCACTTTGGGGGATCATGCCCTTGTTCTTACTGCTGCTCTTGCTCCTGCGGCGGCTCGCCTCATGCTCCTGCTCTGGTGCCTGTTTGAATTTTGCTCCTGCTCTTGCTCCCCACCCTGCCGTTGTTCTTGTTCCTGAACGCCGTAATTCAACACAGGGGTTGAAGGGCGGGATGATTTCACGGTGGTTTTCCGAAAAGTGTTTATTGTTTTATCATTTGGGGATGTGTTCAATAATAGGCGGAAGCGATCAGTGAAGCATCAATGTTTCAGAATCTCAGAAGGCGTCATCTTGAGTATTCGCTGCACACCCTAACTTAACCAGATCTAAGAACTCGTGTCTGCAGAGATTAAGGACGGAACCACATCGTCGGGCACCTGTCCTGTTGTCGAGTTCGCACGCTGACGTCGTCTGTTCATGCCAGATATGAGTAGCTATTGCTGTCATAATACTTTTGGAATTAATGGTTGAATACTTGAGCGGTGTCCGGTGGAGGACTGCGGCTACTCCACCGCCACTGCTGCGGCTTCTTCCTTTTCTAGTATTCTAGTGCTGCTGGTATCTGCTGGTGCTGCTAGTACTAGTAGTCTTCGTCGCGCAGTGGTCGCGTGGGGGTGTTACTGTGCACAAGTAGCAGTATTGCAGTTCCTGTACGACGATGCTACCAATTAACCCCCCTCTGCCGCGCTCCTGGTACCCCTGCCTTTCTACTGCAGAAAGATCCTTGAGATGCCTCTCAGAGCATCGCGCACCCAATGGCCCATGACGACTTGTAGCTGTTCCGTGAGCTGCTGACTTCCCAAGAGACCGCAGTCAGAAACTTTGTGGCGTTTGAAGAAATGCCCAGAAAGATCGCGGAAGAAAGGTTTCCTGTCATACCCGAGTTTTCATGAGCCCGTAGCACGGAGCATCAGATGTCATGAACCAAAGCTGTCGCACTGACAGAGGAGCGCAATCCCTGTCTGAAAGTCACTCCTTCCGAGGTGCTTGACTACTTGCGCTGTAACCCTGAACACCTTTCGAACCCCTGAACGCAAGCCGGCTTAGCTGGATTTTCTGTGTGACTTGCCTGGATTCGTCCGAGTCCCGTTCTCACGACCCTGAACCTGAACTCCTTCCTCGTGGCGCCGAAACTCCGTAAAAGTGAGCTAGACTCGGCAGATCTCCTTGGTTACGTCTGGTCATTTGATCTTGCTCTAGGCCCGCGTCTAAGGCTTCCGGCTTCAGTGCACTAAACACATTGGGGAAATGTATTCCCAAAATATTCCGACTTCGTTGGTTGATGCTTATAGTTTGAAGCTCATTACGATGCGGAATGTTGAGTCCTCTAGATCTGACTGCTCCAGAAGATCGGAAGAATCAACAGGCTTTCACTGGACTTATGTGTCCGAGCAGCTTTTTGTCGGAATCTTAGGAATCCGCATCGTTCGACGGTCTTGCGGCACGGTCTCTGAGGTACCCTCGCAGTTTGCAGAGCCCTTGTTGAGTCGAGGCTTTCGGGCTCTTCTGTTGCTGTTGCCGTGGCCCCGTTGGGGAAGCCAAGACATGAAGAGACACCTAGGGAGGCCCCACCAGCCCCACCTCTTTTGTGCTACAGGCAACACTTGGAGCTTCATGGGTAGTTATAAGTGGGGTTATAAGTAAGGTAACGATAATTATAGCCCGTATTAGGGGACTTATAACTCCACTTATAACTACCCATGAACCTCCAAGCACAAGAAAGCAGTCCATTGACCCTATGCTACCCACACCCACGACATGAGCCCCTGAGCCCTTTCAGCCCTAGTCCAACCCTAACCCCCTTGCCAGCCCCGGAAGATGCCTGAAACGAGCCTTTCGCCATAGTTGAAGAGAAGAGCCCATATGTGCACCCATGGCCGGGGAGCTCGCTGGGCACGGGGAAGCGAACGGCGTCGCCGGCAGTGGGGTCGTCGAGGTTGCTTGGCCAAGATCCAGGTTGGGACCTTCCTTAAGAACCCAAAACCCACTTTTTTGTAGGCTCTTATTCTAAACCCTAATATGGGATTTATAGGGGCCCTACCAAAAAGTAGGTTTTGGGTTCTCAAGGTTGAGACCCATGAGAATCTGGGAAACATGGCCAAGTGAGGCTCTCGGGCTCCAAGGGCTTGGCTCGGAAAAACCACGAAGTTCATAATCCTAACCCTCCAGGTACTGTACCTACTATTTAGGGGGTTTAGGGCTTAGGGCTTAGGGTTTATAGGGTTTAGGGTTCCTAACCCTCCAGGTACTGTACCTACTATTTAGGGGGTTTAGGGTTAGGGTTTAGGGTTTATAGGGTTTGGGGTTCCTAACCCTCCAGGTACCTACTATATAGGGCCCTAGGGGTTCTAGTACCCTATATATAATAGTAGGTACCTGCGGGGGGTTAGGGTAAACTGCTGACCCAGCTGCGCAGCGTGTTCCCCAGCCGTAGTGCCGCAGGGGTTGAGCAGGAAGATGGCTAGCGACACCGAGGCAGGTAACATAGAAGCTACAGTTACAGTACCCTAAACCCTAAACCCTAAACTGTTAGCCAAGGAAGAGGCGCTGGGGGAGGAAGCCGCGAAAGGCGCTGTCTGGCCCTCGAGCGATGCACATCCCCAGGTCCAAGCCATCGACCTCCAGAGCCTGGAGTACTTGGCATCTTCACCCAGAACGGACCTAGAAGGCGGAGAGACCCCAGTTAGCCTTGGAATGCCCTTTTCTGCGAGGGTCCGTGTGGAAGATCCGGAAGCTCTGCAAGCAAGCCCTTCCACGGAGAAGGCCGAAGCTGCGCCGGAGGAGGAGGCCTTGCCACAAACGACTGAAAGTATTCCTTTGCCCTCGTCATCCTCGCCTCGACTGGAGGAGTCTGAATCTTCAGGTCTTCAGGCCAATGAAGTGGCTCCTCTGGATTCGGAACTGGTCCAAGCTGAGGCTAGTCCTGCGAAATCGGCTGGGAGCCGTCCTGAATCGCTCGAAGGGCCTCTGCCCTCTGATACTATGCTCGTGCCGACGGCGGGGCAAGCTGTGTCTTGACGAGAAGTAATCTGTTACGGTCGTTCTACCCCAAACCTCAGTATAAGGTACTTATCACGTACTCTACCCTGTTTGCAACTTCGCAGGTCTATCTATCCACCTACCGATCTGTATCTCTCTATCTCCCGCGTCTTTTCCTTTCTATATATATACACACATACACACGTATACATGCACATGTGCATATACGTATGCATGTTCACATATGTACGTATATCATGTGTGCGCTTGTATGTGTATGTAGATATATATATATATATGAGTATGTTTATATATATATATATACCTATATATACAGAGAGAGCGAGTGAGAGGCATAAAGGCGTGTGTACATGTCTCCGCTGTGATCTTAGGCTCCGGCAGAGGCCGAGAGCCAAGGGGACCCTGCTGAAGCCTTGGCTTCCGAGCAGTCCGAGGAGGAGCTCGGGTGGGGCGGGGTGTCGGGTGTAGGGGTGCCGTTGCCCGAGTTTCTTCAAAAGTTTTTCAAAGCCCTAAACCCTAAAGCCTAAATTGTGTCGTTTGGGCGCGTCGGGCTTGGACGGGCCTCCTTGCAGTTCATGCTCACTGTTGTTCTTGTGGTCCAGCTCCTCCAGACTTTTAACGAAGTTGCTTGAAGCATCACGTAATCCCTTCACAGAACCCTGACAGTCCCCTTAATCACCATATGTTAGAACTTACTATAACTCTGCTGAAAGCCCTACATAAGCCTCTGTAAAGCCTAATATAGGGCCTTAATCATGAGAACAGGGTTTGGGGGGAATACTGTGCTATAATTGTAGCAAGGAGCCCCCTAAAGCCCTCTTCTAATCATTAAGGCCCCTATATATATATATATATGTTAGGTTTTTTTTTTTAACATTTCGCGGAAGCCTAGGACGACGGCGACCCCCGGTCCGAAGGTCCGGAGAGAGGTCACCGACTTAGGGCCTTTTCTTGGGGGGTTTTGGGGCTTTCTGGGGTTTGGGGATTTTCGGGCTTTAAAATTTGGGGTTTTAGGGTGCAGGGTTTATGGCTTTAGGTCTTTAGGGTTCGGGGCATTGTTGGGTGTTAAACGTATACCTCCCAAGACTTTCCTCCTAAACTTTAGGGGGAAAGTTTTGGGAGGCATATGTAGGCTATAGGGTTAGGGGTTCTGGTCAACCTGACTTCCCCCGGTCCCGAAGATTCCCGTTCTTTTCAGTCTCTGTTGCTTCCTTACAACCGAGAGCGGCTGTATAGAAGCCTCAATAAAACTAAATAATTACCAATATATTCTTTATTATAGTTATACTAAAAAGGAGCCCAGAACCCTATTCTAATTACTCAGGCCCCTACATGGTTCAGAGGACTGGGGGCTGCTAGGGTGTTTGAGTTTCGGGGGATCAGACGCTAGCGGGGTGGAATCTAAGCAGGCTTAAAGTTTAGGGTTTAGGGCTTGAAGACTGAGAAGCTCATCTGATTACTGAAAGTCAAAGAGGGCCCAATAACTTGAGTAGTAGGTTACCAGCCAACATAATATGTGATCCGGAAATTAGGCGTACCTTATTTTGGGGCCCTTATAGTAAGGATCCTATTATTTAGGGTGCTATATTAGGGTCCCCTATTTTCGGAAACCCCCCATATGTAACTCAGTAACCCATGATTTAATTAACTCGAACTACCCTAAACCCTAAACCCTAGCCATTTTGGCTCAAGATTTCGGCTCTGGGTCACGTCATGAGTGGAAGTCATCTTGAGGAGGAAGATAAGCGTCCTAAGAACATTCAGATTTCTTTCGGTACTTGGGGTCCCCCACACCTGCGAATGCCTGCTGAAAAACCCGCCCACTTTCTGCCAGCCGTCGGTCGTCATACGGAAATTCTGGAGGGAGCGCAGATCAATCCCTACTCCGAGATAGCGGACATGGAAAGAGACAAGAGAGATGGAGAAAGAGATGTTGCCAGCAGAGACAAGCCTCCGGTAGTCCGTCGTCCCAGCATAGTCGACATACCTGACAATAAGAAGGCAAAACTCGAGCCAAAGGACGTTGACATGGATACTGAGAGAGGAGAGATTACCCCAGGTCAGCCTATCTTTGGGTCAACCCAAACAGACGTTTTTTCCCAAGACGTTGATATCCCCCCACCTGAACAAGCCAACTCCCCATCCTTTGCTTCTCAGGCAAGAGAGATCGCTATCCTAACCCATAGGGTGCCTGAAAGAATTGACCTCACGGAACAAGATAAAGCCCTTCCGGAGGACAAAGGTGGAGGATATGACGATGAACTTACCCGAACCATTAAACCAGACCAGGGAGCAGGTATACTCAGACACTTGAGCACGGAGTCCCAGCAAGCAAGTGGAGGACTTTCAGCATTGAATCAGTTTGCCAGGTCTTCGGATGAAAGGTTGGGGATGAGTTCGGCTGCTAATTCGGAATTCACTGCAGGTCTACAAATTAATAATGATGTGCATGCAACTTCTCGCGGAACCCATCCCAGTCATGCCTATGCTTCCGTACCCCAACAAATGCCTCCATGGTTAGCGGACATCAATCTAGGTTTGCAGAGTCTCCACAACAAAGCTGATCAACAACATGCTGAGATCAGCACATGTCTTCAGACTCATGGAGTTAGTATCACTCATCTCGAATCAATTGCTTCGGAACACACCGCAGAACATCTTCAGACCAAACAAAAACTAAAAAGCCTTGAAGATAAAATCCGCGAACTCGAAGCTACTAGAGATTCTGGCTCTAGATCTCCACGCTTGAGACCTACCAGCGCCCCCATCCCCACGTTCCCCGAGATCACCCAGGTTCTCCAACATAATCGATCGTGCTGATGACGAAATGGATGAGCCTGATTTGGACATCGTTGTAGGAGGTTGGTCTGATGCTCGACGTGATGACGCTATTGCTGAAACACGTAATCTCCTCAAGGATGCCAAAGTTGAAGAAGATGTTGAGGAAGTGTGGAGCCCACTTAGCCGAACCAGCTTTGTAAAACTCCGCATTAAGTTCCCCTCTGATATGATCCTTAGCTCCCGACGAGGCCTTCAGAAACGAATCCTTGACAAACTCAAAGCCAAGAAATACGTGAGTGGAGTTGTGGGCAGTGAGAGCCGAAAACTTTGGATGACTCGAAGCAAAACCCCTGAAGAAAGAGTTCGCACTAGGGCTATTGTCCTTACTAAAGAATTCTATTCCAATCTTCCAAGCCTTGACCCCAACATGCCGAACCCCTTCCCTGACAGTGGCATTGACATCGTCTGGTCAGGCAAAGTATTTATTGGAAAGCATCAGCTACTAGGGAGCGTCTTCCGTGACGGCGAGCCTTCAGGGTACGACTTTTTGCTAAGTGACGCTAAAGGTAATCATATTGACTGGTACCTTAAGGCTTCTGCTTTTGCCGCCCTAACCAAAAGACCCCAGGAGTCCCTTCAGGAATTGTGGGATCAGTATGGCCCTTCGGGACGCCCAGAATGACTCTCACCTTCGGGATTACAGCAGAAGGGGTCATTGTTTCACTCCGCATCTTGGAACGTTCAAGGGAAGTCTCTTTCGGACATTGAGTCTTCTTGGTCAGAATTAGATCTTGCAGGTTTTGATGTTATCGGAGTCCAAGAACTTGGTGGATGTAAACACATCACACCACCGTGGCAAACATTAGAGGCCTCACTGGACGGATGCTGGGGCTTCTTTGCAACTAATCCTCCCCTCTCCTTTCGAGGGGTTGCAGTGGGGCTCCCTAGCCGTCATCTTTCCTCGGTTGAGAAAGTTATACCTCTTAGTTGCGGAATAGGCGTAATCCTCAAACGCAATGCGTCCCGCACTTTCATTGTTTCAGCACATCTCCCGCATAGGCAACGAGCAGATTGCATTGACACATGGCAAACCTTTAATTCGGAATTAGATGCCTTCCTGACAAAGAGGCGAATGCATGATACTGTCATCCTACTACTTGACACCAATTATGAATTAGGTGCAGTAGAATTTGCTGTGGATCCTAACAACTCTGACGAGCGAGGGTTTATTGCATCACAATTCATTCAACAACATGGGCTAGTTGCTACCAAACCCGACAAATACACATGGAGTAACCAGAGAGGCTCTGAGTCTAAAATTGACTTTGTACTAATTTCTGCCCCGACAATTGACATACTGCAGCAACGAGTGTATGAAAACACAGATGCTCTTCTAGGCTGTGACCATAGAGCTGTTTCAGCAACCCATAGAAGCCTCGACCAGCATGTCTCATCTAAGCAACCCCGTCCTAAACGCAACCGAAATAAGTGTGGTCAATGGAAGGTTAATGGTCCTAAAACGCTCGAACAAGCCTCAACTATTGCTCAGAAACTCGAATTGCAGGGTGGAGATTTAACTACAAGTCACCTCGAGGATCTTTGTGATAAAGTCAGTTTTAGACCCAAGAGCTATCGTTATCGAGACCCGCCTCACATCCTAAGCATGATTGCTCGTAGAAGACTACTGACTGGACCTCAGGCTAGGGCTTTGGGTAAAGATATTTTACGTGCCAGAGCTAGTGCCAAGTCCACCTGGCTTACTGATCTACTAGATAGAGGTTCCCAGGGAGACTTTAAGGCAATCGCTTATTTCAAGAAACGTCAGAGTATCATTACAATGCACAGTAATTATGTGGTTAGAGCAGGCGGAGCTCTCAGAGCCATCCCTGATCTCAGACATTTCTATAAACTCAAATACACACCCACTGACCCTTCCCCTGTTGGTCCTGTCGACCTTTTCCTTTCCCGTGTAGGATCGTTCGATAAGCCTCCTCTTATCTCTCTTGAAGAAGTTACCTCTGCTCTTGCCACTTGTAAACCGGGCAAATCCTGCGGTGAGGATGGTATATCGTACGAGTTCCTTAACCTGATTGTTGCTTCTGAACTCGCCCCACACCTTGTCGATTTATTTAACTCTATTCTTTTTCAAGTTGCTCCTATCCCGTTTTCTTGGTCGGTTTCGCGTTTAACCTTTATCCCAAAGACTGGCGCGCCTTCGTGCCCCAAAGATCTCCGTCCCATTGTTTTATCCTCTACCCCCGCTAAGCTTTTTACAAAAATCCTTCTGATGCGCCTTCGCCCTTTTTTCCCTCTCCCTGCTGCCAATCAAATTGCTTGCATTAAAGGCTCTCAAACTCTTGACGGCTCAGCCTGTCTTCAGCATATAATTCACTTATCTCAAGAATATCGGCTGCCGTTAATTGCAATAAAATTAGACATTAGTTCTGCATTCGATCACCTATCCCATGACTCTATTGCTAGTTTTCTGGCTTTGTCTGGAGGTCACCTGGAGTCTCTACTTCTTCTCAAAATTATTGTCCTCTCTCGTGTTATTGTTGGCATGTCAGGCGAGTCCTGGACACAGCAACTTTTTAGAGGACTCCTTCAAGGGTCCAGTTACAGTGCAGAAGTTTTTGGTCGTACTCTCGATCATTTTCTCGGATTCCTCCACACACGATGGACTATCTCTGAAAACACATGGATACAGTCCGCCACTGATTCTGGTAGTATCCATAAGTTATTCAATCTTTTATATGCGGACGACATTATTTTGCTTGCCACATCTTATAGTCAAGCTCGTAGACTTCTTGAAGGGGTTATTGACATCTTGTCTTCTATTGGGCTATCTCTAGCTCTCGAAAAATGCAAGTTCATCGTCTCTCCAGATCTCCCGTCCCATCCTCTTTCGGTTCGTCAAGTCTCGCTTCAGCCTGTCCGTGCCTTTAAATTTCTCGGAGTTTTGATGGGTTTCGACCTTTATTCTCAGACGGTTTTGGCCACTCGACTTTCCATGACCAATAATGCCTACTGGGCCTATTATAGGGTTCTTCGCCGGCCCGGCGCTCCACTTCGTAAAAGACTTCATTTATTGAACACTTATATTACGTCAAAGTGGAGATGGATTAGCCCGTGTATACGGCCAGTACAG